AGAAGAGAATAAGAGAGAGAGTGGTTTATTGATAGAGAGAGAGAGAGAGGAGAGAGATTGGGTTTCTTTTGAAACATTGAATTGATTCTGCAGCTAAATTGGCGTCCCCCTTGTAAACTCTCTCAGAGCAGCCCCTAATTCAAGCAAACGCTCGGCACTTCTCTGAAATTTTTCAGAGTCCATTTGTCAATTACCCCATTAAATCCATTTCTGATATCTGCACCGAAAAACCCTAGAATATCTCTCCTCACTCTAAATTTGGATGACCCGCGTCGCAGACTTTCAGAAACGGCTCTATGTAAAGGGCTCAAATGGTTTGAGTCTCTGTAACTTCTGGTTCTTTGAGAATTGGGGCTTGTGGGTTTGAAGCTTGGGTTGCATGGGCGATCTTCAAGCTTGGGCAAAGCCTAATGGAGAGGGGGCTGGCCCTTTGAATCCTCATCCTCGAGCCATTGGGCCTGATCGTTGGAGAAGAGCAGAGGATAGGACATGTGAAATTATCAGCAAGATTCAGCCCACCATTGTTTCCGAACAGAGAAGAAAGGCGGTGGTTGATTATGTGCACAGATTGATCCATGGTTATCTTGGTAGTGTGGTATGAATTTCTCTCTCTAAGAATCTCTCTCTTCTCTCTCTTTGTAAGTTTGTATTGATGTGCCTATTCAGCTGGCAATGGTTTCTCTCTCTCTCAAACGGTGTTGATACCTAAGACTCCAATAAAGCCCGTAGCTTTGTTCCATATAGTATTAACCAAAACTCTTTCTCATCTCTCTCTCTCTCTTATGAATTCTTGGTTGATGGTTTGATCGAAACGGTTTTTGATTTTTCCTAATTTTCCTGCTATTTTTTGTCTCTCTTTTTTCTCTGTGTTCTACTTTGGTTTGTTTTTCCTTCTTAATTTTAATGGGCTTAGTTGTTCTTAATGCTTCTCATAATTTTCTTTATTTAAAACATTTTTTTTTTTTTCGTTTAAGTTTTGGATGATGGGGTTATTAGCGCTGCTGTACTTTTTTACTGTTATCATTATTTTTTCATTGACATGTCTCATCATCATTATTCATCTTTTTTCTTCTTCTGTGATTTGTTTAAAATGCATTTCCCTATCAAAGTTTTACATTTCCTTTTATCTTTTTTACTACTATTTCTTTATCTCTTATTAGTCCTCAATTTTTTTTATTTTTTTTGAACCTTGATGCACTTAATTGATGTATGATTGTTCTGCATTTGTTCATCAATGCATTAAAAATGGGGCAGCAATGGCAGTTTCCCATTACACTTTTCCGCTATACATTCTTGAACTCGGTTTTGTATGATAGTGATCTTTGAGCTTGTTGATTATCTCTGTCAATTTGTTTCTCTTTATCTTTTTGCTTTTTTCTTTCTTCTTTTTTGTTAGCCGATGATTTCGATACCGAGGAGGCTGAACAAGTCGCCACTTCTTTCTGTTTCTTTGTTTCATGTTCTATAATATTAGTTGTTATTGATATTTTACTATCTATTATTTTATACAACTATTAATCCACTGATCCTTGAAAAATATTCCCACTTTTTCAAGTGTTTTGAGTTGTAGCACAGTGGAACCTGTGTATTACTTGTTCGGTTGCTTGGCATAAACTATGACAGTGCTTGTTGTAGCTGTGCTGAACAAAGTGCCAGAATGTGATGCAGCATATCTTTAAGATGACCTCCGACTATGGATCTATATTAAGGGTCTATGTAAACTCTATATTTCAATGCATGCAATCTATTGGGTCCTTGGCTGAGCTGCATGGGCAAGATCTGATGCACTTTTATTTCAATAATCTTACTATCTATTATTTTATACAACTATTGATCCACTGATCCTTGCAACATATTCCCACTTCTTCAAGTGTTTCGAGTTGTGGCACAGTGGAACCTGTATATTACTTGATCGGTTGCTCAGCATAAACTATGACGGTGCTTGTTGTAGCTGTGCTGAACAAAGTGCCAGAATGTGATGCAGCATATCTTTAAGATGGCTTCCTACTATGGAGCTATATTAAAGGGCTGTGTGAACTCTATATTTCAATGCATGCAATCTATTGGGTCATTGGCTAAGCTGCATGGGCAAGATCTGATGCACTTTTATAAAGGTCCTTCGTTTTTTCTTTTTGGGTCAAATTTTTGATCTCACAATGTTCTAGAAGCACACACAGGTGTAAAAATACAATGCAATATCGTAGTAACAGGCATTAATGGTATCTGATGTGTTTTTTTTTATCTATCAGATGAGAGAGGGATCGTGCCTCTGTCTTTTGTGATGATTCAATTGTGAAGTGGTGCACTGCTATCTTCTAGTTTTTGTATCAGATTGGCATTTAAAAATATGGGGTATGCTATCGTTGCATTGGTGTTTGATAAATCGGAGCTGTCTGTGTCTTCATAGAATCTGATAATAGTCTACATTACCACGTCACTGTCCTATTTAGAATCAAGCAATTTTAGAGGTAAACATAACTATCTTTTTAATATACAAATACAAAGTACCTTCTCATCTTGATGGGGATTGTATATAGGGAAAAGTTTATATAGAGCCGAGGTTCTAAACAATCAAATTTGAGCCTATCTCAAAAATTTCACTAGAAGATGTTGTTTTGATGCCCAAATATATTCAAATTGATCATCTCGACATCAAGATGCATGGACATGAGAAAAAATAGATTTCAAGTTTTGGAAATAGTGCATTTTATAACGCATTTTTGGATGGTCAATTTTCAAGTTTTCATACATCTGTCAACTTATACTATTTTTTAAGCTTTAAACTTTATAAATAAATATAAAAATATATTTTAAGGCTATCACAAAGATTTTCCGTATTAAAACCACATTTCTCGACAATATTTGAAGGTAGGCTCTAATTTGATTGTTTAGAGCCTAGGCTCCATACAAACCGCACCTTTGTATAGATCCTGCTTGTCAATGATCTCTGTTCTGTTAATCTCTATTCTATAACCTTCATAACCTTCGATACGTCACCCTTATAGAATTTTGGGAATGCTATGATTTTTTCTTTACAAATGTAAGTTTTATAGTAATGAAAATTGAGGAGGAGACAATGAAGCCAAGGGAGAGTATACCAAAGTACTGTAAAATAAGTGAATGCTACAGGTTCAAAGACAAGGACGCACACAATAAGATTTAGGTAGGATCACTACAGGATTTTTAAAACTGATGGTGCTTAAAGCTTTGAATATGCATGTGGATCATTTTAGCTCTTACACCATTTAAAGTCAATATGAGAAAATTTTGTCTTTTTGAATTTATTTTTATGCTTTCGATCAATGGGTTCTTATTGTTATCCACTTTCTGGCTTAGAATCTCCCCCTATGGCTCATTGAAAACACTTGTCACCAGAGCCCATGTTCCCATGCTAGCTAAAAATACGCCTGGTTTCCTTTCCTGGTTATTTGAAATTGAGTCCTTATGTGACTACAGAGAGCATTAGTTAATTATTGAACCCTACTAGCATTCTATGATGAAATCATCCTTGCCTTCCGACAATGAATATCCACTCTCCAGACAGCAGGGTGGAGAGAGAGAGAGAGAGAGAGAGAGAGAGAGAGAGAGAGTTTATGAAATCTGTGTTCGTGCATGTGTCCAACAGTTTGCTAGCACATTCCCATCTTTCCGATGTTAACAATGTATGTTTGGGAGTTTGTCATTCGCTCAAGTTCCATTAATCAAGCATGGCTTGACTTTCCCTTTGATGGATTCAACTAGTCTTTGAGCAGGTTACATAAAATAGAAGAAAATTTTGGGAGGATGCACCTCTCTGACTAACAGACTGAGAGCCTGAGGTTTGAGGAGCATCTGCTAAACCTTGGGCCATGGTGCTCACTGATACCCTAGCTCCGGGCTCCCAAAAGGCTGTATCTTCCGTGATGCCAATTTGCTTCATATCCTGTTTCTTTGAAAGGTCTTAAGTAGTGTATTGTTTCAACATAATGTTTGATTTGTTTTGAAATCATTCATCATGTGGTTTGCGGAAGTTCTTCCAAGTTTTTTCAAACTTAGATTTGGGCTACTTTTTGACCTTTTATGATGATATAAGTGTGATGTTTTTTTTTTTATAATGTTATAAGTGTGATGTTTTTTTTTAATAGAATAATGATATAAGTGTGATGTTTGTACAATTAAGCATGTCAAACTGAAATTTGCGACGTATTTAGAGTGCAAATTTAATTGGTTGTAGAAAGAACTTAGTATGCATTGGATGAGGTTAACATTCTAAAAAAAAACTCATTGTGCATTGGATGGCTTGTACACTGACGGTAGGTTTGGCAATGGGCAGGGCAGCACGGCCCGGTTGATCCGGCCTGAAAAAACTAGGGTGGGCCACAAAATGTGGCAAGGGCCACGACAGAACCGGCCTTTTTTTCCCTTATCTTTTTTTCTTTAGGTCTTTTGGCCCCGGCCAGGGCCAGGCTGGCTTGGCTTAGGCCAGCCCATTGCTAGGCTTAACCGACGGTCAGCTTAAAGTACATTGAAAAAATTAGTTAGTTGGATAAAATGGGCTAATATGATGAGCTATTTTAAGATTCGGGCCATTGGTATGAATCTTACCATTTGTGATTTGTTATGTTTTTCCTTTCTTCCACCCAAGTGGTTAGAACTTACACGATAATAAATTCTTCTGTTTTTTTTTTTTGCTTGGTTGTTTACATGGGAATTTCTTTTAGTTGAAGATTAATCAATTGTGACACACGCACACACACATGTGATCATCTACTATACGGCCATTTGCATTTTAAACAAGAATGTCACAATCTGCTTTAGCTGTCAGATGTGAAATCTTTAGGGTGTGTAACAAATTTCGAGAAAATCTTGTTAGACATCAAGCCTGGACAATGATACACCCTTAGCCGCCCCATTTCACATCTAACTGCTGAGGATGATTGTGACCTCCTTTTACCGAAGGTAAATGGTCTTAGTGTTAGTGTTACTCTTGTTTGTGTGTGCGCTCATGCGTGTGAGTGTGTCTATACACACAATAGGGGATTGATTTCATGCCACTTTTTGATTATATTATAATGAAACTGCTCTTTTAAAGAACCATTTTCGTAGCAATTGTATGACCCCAAATTTTGGAGACACATTCTCTTCATTCCAATCATCAATCCCAAAAGGAAAAAAGAAAAGAAAGGAATTTCGAATTTGTACCCTAGAAAAGAACAAAATGAGTCTTCCTCCAACAAAGGGTCCTGACCATCCATTCCGCAGAGGTTGGGATCCAAACCTTTAAAAATTTAATATCAATTTGTTGTTTTTTTCTTTTCAAATGTTTCTCATCTTATGATTGTAAGGCCAACTACAAAATTTGAGATAAAAAATATTTTTTAAACCCTAGATATAATCATCCCATGAAATGGAGGACCTATATTCGATGGATTAAAAATCACTTTCCAGGATACATTTTCTATTTTTTTTTTTTTTTTTTTTTTTTTGAGATTGCTCATTTGACTGAAAAGTATATGTTTAAAATTTGGGGTCACACAATTGCGCCTACATGGTTTTTGAAGGTGTGTTTCATTATATTACTATAAAACTGTTGCATGAAATCACTACTCATATATTTATGGAAAAGTATACAATGAGACCACTTACCTTTTGTACAAGGTGGTCACTATTAATCTTGACCATTGGATTTGAAATTGGGTGGCTGCATTTATTCCATTCACCAAGCTCAAAGTTCAAAGGAAATTTTCTCGTACTTTGTGTCACATTCAAGCTATCAAATTTCACATCGGGTGGTTATAAGGAATTGTGACCTCTTTGTACAATAGATAAATGGTCTCATTGTATACAATCTCTCTCTCTCTCTCGCTCTCTCTCCCTCTCTCTCTCTCTCTATATGTATATATATCCTTTGGGGAAATATTTAGTGAGGTAGTGAGGTCTTCTTTAAAGACAAGCAACATGGAATTCTCTTTGTGGATTTTTTTTCAGGTGTTCCCATTTGGTTCTGTGCCATTGAAGACTTATCTCCCTGATGGAGACATCGATTTGACTGCATTTAGCAACTTCCAAAATGATACTTTGGCAAATGATGTTCGTTCTGTACTCGAAGGAGAAGAACAAAACAAGGTTGCTGAGTTTGAAGTTAAAGATGTCCAATACATTCACGCAGAGGTCTTTCTTTTCCTATTCTGTTTTGTTTTGTTGGGATTGATATCCTATCAAATTTCATTTGTCAAAGATGTTCAATATATTCGTGCAAATTTCATTCATCTTAAAGAGCGATCCTCTAGTTTGATTGCAGTTAATGGTGTTATGTACATATTTTTCTTTTGGGGGTAGGTACTCTTTCTACTGCTTTATAGGGACAAACTTTTTCATTCTTCACTGCTTTCATCTGCTAGATTCTGAAGTTTTATTTTGTGATTGTGCTTACAATGAAAAATGTGTGTTCAATCTTAGCCCACGATCTTGTAGTCAACAAGTGCATTGATGCCCAAGCTAAGCACCTATATATGCAGACATACTTATTTGATATCGACGCAAACTCCATCTTTCTTTCTTTCGCTACAATAGTGTCACACTTTTCAAAAGGAAAATACATATGGTTGGTAAATCAGGGAAATTATGTATATAAATTGGACTGGGACTGCCATATGGCTAAGTGCCCTTAATGATGCAAAATGATAAATGATTGGAAATTAAGCTGATGCCCATGCCCTATTGTTTTATCTTGGACAACACAAAATGATAGTTGTTAATGTGAGGGAGAACATGAATGCCATCAGCTTTTTTACTTGGAGGTTTCATGTGAATTACATTGTAATCAATTGTGATCATTGTCTCCCATCTTGTCAAACATCTGCAACTCGCCATCCTCCTCTAGTCATTCAATCTATCTCATTGAAGGTCTCTAAAGAAAAAGTTGTGCTTTGCGATCCATTAAGTAGATGCAAGGAGTTCTATGTAGAATTAGCTTGGCCACAGATGCTTCAACGGAAGCTTCTGATTGCTGCAGATATAAGGTCCCCTCACTAAAGGTCCTGAATGGTGAATGGAACTAAATTGTTTCTGATGATTTTTAAATTTAAAATGGATAGATAGGATTTTGGAAATAATATATTACTCTAGCACTTTCTAGTGGCCTACATTTTACTTACGAAGAAAGGAAGATAATAATTGATATGAGGATTTGATACTCTAGTCATACTTGTGCATGATGGGCAAAGGTGCCTCACAACTACTTGGACTTAAATCTATGCGTTATTTCCTTGGAGAACCCTATCGTTGCAGACTAGTAGATTACTTAGAGATTGTCTTGGAAGAGTGTTTGTGTCTTTGTTGGCTGATGGTATATATCTATGACTCCATGAGGTAGAAGTAAGAGCCTTTTGATGGTTGAAGGGTTTCCTTCTGATTCTTCTTGGAGCCAGAATTACAAGTTTTAATTGAGATCTGAGTGCTCTTGGATAATCACTAACATCATGGAAGAGGTCAGGTGCTTTGGCCATCGCGTTTGCTCTCTGTACAGTGGAGAGTTTGGATCATAACTGTAACTATGGGGATTTGGGATGTTTGAGACTTATGAGTGCAGGTGCTTTGCAAGGGTGTTCGAGATCAGAGAATCTCAATGGCCAGACAGCAATCTTGAGCTTTAACTAAAAGAACATTGCCTTCTCCTTGAGAGCCTTGTTGAGTTCCTACTCTAGGTCACTTCCCTTGAGCCTGGTTTCACAAGATCAATTTTGATGACCATTGAGCGTTGTGCTGAGCAAGATGAGTGGTGTTCTTGGAGACAGGGACTACAGTTGTGTCCTATTCCACTGTCCATTTTGGAATTTCGGATTTGTTAGTAGCTGAGGCCATGGCTCTCCTGATTGGTTTGAAGTTGTTATGTAAGTGACCCCTATGATTGTTGAAGGGACAACATTAGTGCCACTATATGGTTGGGGAAGGAATCACTGGAAACATGGAAGTTGGTGATGATACCGATCAGTTTTTTTACTTTTATGCAAGAAGATTATTTCCTTCCACCATGTTTCAAGAGGCTAATTCATTGGCCTTGTGCTTGCTTGGAGTGCATTGTGATCTTACCTTTGTACCAAGTGGCACCCCTTGAGATATCCTTTGCTGTACCGTATTTACTTTTCTTGTCCTTGTACCATTACTTTTAATTGTTTTAATGCTATTGACTGAGGGTAAAAGATATGGAAAAGGTCCTCATGTAGCTCATGTTGACCTTTTTGCTTTCTCTTCTGTGTTAGATAAGAGAATGGGGATGTGGAATTCTTGGCATAGTAAGAGTTAAAAATGCATTCATATCAACTGGGGGCACTTTTTGATTTATTTTATGAACGTATCCATCTCAGATGAAACTAACATGGAAACAGGAAGTCAAAATCTGCTTATTATTAGAGCATATTCTTACCCTGTTCCCATGCATATCTAATGCATTTTAACATATATCATGAATGAGATATTGAACTAACCAACTTGAAAAATGAAAGCTTTCATTATAATTTAAATATTTTCATGCAACTATTTTGTAGCTAGAAATATGTTGTAGAAGCCTCTTTGGCCATGTGGTTAGGTAGTCCGTGCAAAGCAGACTTATTCATGATGGAGGCAAAACCTTTTTTTTTGGAAAAATGGGCCCGTCGTGGATCAATTCTGCTTCCTGCATGAAGTTGTTGGAGTACTGTTCTTATTTGTGCAGTATCACACCTCATAAGGGGCTCACATGTAAGTCCATCTTGTCAGCAGCTTTTACGGCACCCAAATACACCTTATTCTAGGGCATGGCATCCAGCCAGGCCTTGTTTGCATGATGCCCCAAAAGATGTTGGTGTTGCCTTTTGGGTGAGGGACCATTTCTGGTTCAGGTGGTCCCTTCACTTGCCTCTTTAGAAACCTCAGGTAACGGTTGGCACACTCACAAATGGCTGCTTTTTTCCAAGTCAAATGAAAACTGGAATTTCCAGTTATCTGCCAACTTGTAAAACAGTGTATTTTGTGGGTGTGTTGACCATTGCTTGACCAGAAGATGTAACTCGCATCTCTTCAAATTATGTGCAAATGAAAATGCATGTCAGCCTTGGATAAAAAATGAAAATGCATGTCAGGACCCGAAACATTAGAGGGTTCCCCATTTCACACACACATTCACAAAACCTCCAACACTGGAAGATTGAACTTGGAAGGAATTTTTTTGCATCAAGGATTCCAGCTATCCTTTTTTCCATAATTACTTGTCATCTCTGCGTCAGTTAAAGAGGCTGGAATCCCTGACTTTCTTAGAGCTTCACTTTGGACTAGGGGCTGAACCTATCATTCTCTTTGGCCAAGGCAAAAAGGATCTGACAGCTGTGGAATTTTGGTCATCGCTAGCTCTCTTTAGTACATTTTTCTGGTTATTTATACATCTATTTCAGATGCCTTCTCCTTGGATCACTGTTTGCTTCAGCTCTTCCACAAATTATATTTGGGACCATTTCATTTTCTATGAATGTAGGTAGTCCCAATTGAGAAGCATGTATATTTACATTCTAATGTTTGCTTAACTATCTAATGATTATTTTGGGATGATGACCCAATTTTGAAAAATACTATAAAATTGAGAAAAACATGTATTTAGGAACCAAACTTGCGTAGTGGTTTGGAGCCTTTTACAACAGCATATATATTTGTGTCAAATCTTATTCTCTTACCAGTGGATGTGTAAATTTAATATAATCAAAGCAGTTTGTGCAATCTCTTGAGCTTATGATTTTTAGGGTTTTATAAAATCTCATATTTTGTTTGTTTATTGTGGATGACTGTTTTCTCTAGCAGGTCAAACTTGTAAAATGCCTTGTTCAAAATATTGTGGTTGATATCTCTTTCAACCAGTTAGGAGGGCTCTGTACGCTCTGCTTCCTAGAACAGGTCAGCTTCCCAGGGTATTAATACCTTGGATTGCATCTAATCTTCAGTTGATTATATTTCCTGTACATCTATCAATAAAATCAGCTCTGGTAACAAAAAATGAACTATCTATCCATTTGTACTTCCACATTCATGCATTGACACATGTATATACATGTTCATACACACAGGCTTTTTCCTTTTTGAATTATTATACATCTTTTTTGGCTATTTTATCAGGTTGATCGTATGATAGGGAAAGATCATTTGTTCAAGCGCAGTATTATACTGATCAAGGCGTGGTGCTATTATGAGAGCCGCATTCTTGGTGCTCATCATGGTCTTATATCTACATATGCGTTGGAGACATTGGTCTTGTATATTTTTCATCTGTTCCATTCAACTTTCAATGGTCCTCTGGAGGTGAGTTTTTGTTCAGAAGCAGCATCAAAAATGCAAAATTATATATATTAAGTTTCACACTGAAAACTCTAGCTTAAGATTATGTTCATCTTATCTGAGCTATTTTATACCAGGTTCTCTACAGGTTTTTGGACTATTTTAGCAAATTTGATTGGGACAGTTATTGTATCAGTTTAAATGGCCCAGTATCTATATCTTCGTTTCCAGAACTAACAGGTGGGGGCATCAATTTGTATCTCCTTAGTTATATTTTGCTGTGCTATGAGTTTGGTTGTTTCTTCTTTTTTCTAACTAGGTTTTGTTTGGTGGACATTGTTATTTGTTTTTACAGTTGAAACACCAGAAAATGATGGGGGTGAGTTGCTACTCAGCAAGGAATTCCTTAAAGATTGTGTGGACTCATACTCGGTTCCATCAAAGGTGTCTGAGGGGACACCCCGCTCGTTCCCTTTGAAGCATCTAAATATAATTGATCCATTGAAAGAGAATAACAACCTCGGACGGAGTGTTAGTAAAGGTAAAGCATCACGTTTTAATTTTGTTTTAACTTTCTCTTCATTGGTCATGCTTTCAGGAAACCAATTCTATAATCATGGGCTATGGAAAAACCATAATTCATTAGGTCATCACTGTCCAGTTAGATGATGGATGGTGATGGACTACAATAACATTGGCCATGTTTTGAGGAAAGATTTTATAATCATGGCTTCATCTAATTCATGGCTATAAATATCTTTTTATTGGCCATGTTTCCAGTAATGTGTATTTGAATTGAGAAGATACAGTATAATCCAATGGACTATGTAAAACTCACTGGGCATCTTTGCTTGTTAGAAGAGGCAGAGGCAGCTTTTGAACCCACCTCTTCCACCAACTTTGGAAGCCGCAGTTTCCATGAGGTAGCATGGAAGCCGCGGCTACCAAATTTAAGCATAACTGTATGCTGTTTTGAAAGCCACAGCTTCCAAATCAGCATAGCACTTCCTGTTTATCAAACACAGTTAGGACTACAGTACTGGAAGCCGCTGCTTCCAATTCTCAAGCACACCCATAATCAATTGGCTTTTTCTGTAGGGCTGTAACAGTGCAGGACACCTGAACATGACATATGTATTGCCTAACCTTATCAACCATCAATGTTTCCCTAGAATGACGTTTGAAAGTTTCACTGCTCATTTCGTTCTCCATTGTCAAATAAGACCTGACCTTCACTTCCTATCCAGAAGAAATGACTCAACCCTCACCTCTCCGAACTCTTCCTTACATGAATCCTTGAAATAAAGCTCTCTTACTTTGTTCCTCTAGTAGTAAACTCTTTCATTAATTATTTGGTGCCACTTATCCAGAAATGACCTTTTTTTTTCTGAGGAAGTTAACAGTCCAGAAATTAACTTTCTAGTCTCCTTATTCCCCACCTTCCAACATGTGTTGATCTACAAGGCTCTTCCAGCTTAACCATGTCGACCATAAAGGTTGATCCTTCACTCCAAAGATTTTCTCTTTTTGATCAACATTACCATTATGGCATGGGCACCTGGAAAGGAGATGTAGCATTTGGGAGTGCTTTTCAAGGTTCTCTTGATGGAATTTGCCTTTTCATGGACCTAACTTCTTCCTTGAGCTCTCCAATGGAGACATTAGCCTTTCCATGGAGTTAACTTCTTCCTTGAGCTCTGCAATGGAAAGACATTAGCCTTTTCATGGAGCTAACTTCTTCCTAGAGCTCTCCTATATAATGACATTAGCCTTTCCATGGAGTCAAATTCTTCTTTAACCTCTTCTAAAGCTGGTACTGGAAGGACTCTTAGCGAAGTATTGATTTACTTTGACTACCAATCTATGAAAAATCAACATCCATCGAATTTGGTCATTATTGGATCTATTTGGTTTGCTTTGACTTCTTAGAAGAGTAACATTGCTCGATTCTTACGGGTCGAACATGCCGAAAATTATCGATCCCAGTTTCCATTATACATACTTTTCTGACTCCAAAAGTCTTGGTTTACCCACTTTAGTGCCGTCTCACATTTCTTTTGATAAATTTTCCTTATTCTACTTGGGTGACCCACTGTTGTGTCCTGTTATTGTAGTTTCCTTTCTCTCACTCTCTCTCTTTCTCCCTCTCCCTCCCTCGCTTTCTATCCCTCTCTCTCTCTCTATCTCTCTTCATCACCATCCATTTCATTGGAACCCAATGGACAATGGTTTTCCATAACCTATTGGATTATAGATAATACACTTCTTTTAATGGAAAACTTACACCATTTTTTTTGCACTACTGTTCTTTGCAGGTAATTTCTACAGGATACGCAGTGCATTCACATATGGGGCCCGAAAACTGGGCCGAATACTCCTGTTATCTGAAGAAACCATCCCTGACGAACTCCACAAGTTTTTCACCAACACTTTGGATAGACATGGAAGTGGGCAAAGACCCGATGTGCAAGAACTCATCTTCTCTCCTGAGGGTCTGCCATTAACTCCTGATATAGAGCAATACAATGAGGATGACCGATATTCAGGAGTATCCTTATATCACTCCTCCCTAAATTTAGAAGCTGGGTATTACTCTCTTCAATTCGATTCCTCTCTCTCAGTTGAATCTAGTGGTGTAGAACAACGTGCTGAATCTCTCGGTGGGTTATGTGGCAAGCTGGGTAAAACCAAGATTTCGGAGCCAGAGAAGGCTCGCATATTAGAAAATGGGGACGATAATCTTGGGCATGCTAGACCCAAAAAAATTGAGAGGTGCTACTCCTCTACAGCTTTGGAAATAGAGAGAGTTTCAGGAAGTCGGTTGGCCGGGGATGCCACAGACCTGGCTAGTCCCAGGCGAAAGACTAATGAAACGGGTACTCCATCGCCACTAGAGCGGACCCACCATGCTCCTCACCTCTACTTTACTCGTTCTCTCTCTGAGAATGGGAAACTTTCTTGTGGGGACCCTGATAGGCCATGGTCTAACAGTTCTCATGTCACTGATATTAAAGCACCTGTTAGCCAACGGTCCTTTGAGGAAGCACCACAATCAAGTTCAGAGGAGGGTGGGCCTGTCAAAAGCAAACCCAAGAGTTGGCTCCAAGCACTTGGTAGCATCCATGCTTTTTCTCCTTCCAGTTCTGGGGCTTATCAAGTGGAAAACACTGCTTCCTCTACCTTAAACCATTCTCTGGTGGCACCTAGCGACACTGTGAAGTATTCAGATCCTAGGGCTATCTCCGGTGCTTGTTATACGGAGAGGGTTGTTAGTGGAAGCTCTGACTCTTTGGACTCTTTGTGTGATTTAGCTGGGGACTTAGATGCTCACACGAAGAGCCTTTTGTATGGTCGATGCTGCCACGATTCGGCTATGTATGGGCCTGTGCTTCCTTTTCCCCCTACTGGTTCATATGGGCGAGGTAAAAACACTTGGGATAGTTTCCATCGACCAACACATGGGAAACGAGGGGTAATCCCTTACATGAATACTAATGGGGTTGTTGCTGGTTCGATGTTCTCTCCTGCTGCCTCTTCTTACTACCCAGTCAACTCGGCTGTGTTACCAAGTGCATTTGGTAGTGAAGAAACAAAGTCGAGAGGGATAGGAACTTATTTTCCCAATGTGGTAAGTTATATTTTTTTGCATTTTCTTCTATTTTATGCTTTTTACAGAGAGAGAGAGAGAGAGAGAGAGAGAGAGAGAGAGAGAGAGTACTTTAAAGAACTTCAAGAATTTATGTTTAAGTAGTATATACTTGAAGAGACAAGGGTAAGAGACGTACCTGTTATAGCTGATTTGGATTGAAATATTGGCTCGTTACATCTTGAATCATTTTCTTTCTTTTGATGCCTCTTCTCTCTGCAGAACCTTCGGATGTACAAGGAGAAACACCCACCAGGAAGGGGGAGAAACCAAGGCATGGGAGGAGCTAGTCATGGCAGGTCTCGCAACAGCAGTGTACGTGGGCCCATCCATGATGGGGGCCCAAATGGCCCCACCAACTTGGCCTGGGCCCCTCAAGGAGGAGCCCATGGGCATGAGGCCAGTGTGCCTGGACGGTCAATGGAAGGGGGGGGTCCACCCCTTCGTTCTATAGGGAGAGGCTATTTGAATGCCAATGTCCCGGCCTCGAGCGCATTGGAGAGGCTTGAGTTTGGGACTTTTGGAACTTCGCAGGTGGTTGGGGGTGAACAAGCAACAAGGACCCAGGACTCAAGCACTGGGTTCATACCTGGCTCTGGTCCGATGCTCCCAATTCCAGGGATGCAGAGGCCTGGAATGACTGCAAATAAGGAGAGGTAAGGGTCTTCATAATTCATGTTTTGTTTGTGAATGTGAGAGAGAGAGAGAGAGAGAGAGAGAGAGAGAGAGAGAGAGAGAGAGA